TAAGTCGTCTGCAGGCGGGCTTGTGTTTCTCATGGACCATTCATTTGGGTTCCTCAGGGACTAATTATTGTTGCTTTATTTGCATTGCTGGCCTCCTTTTTTATGGCACAAAGAAGAAATGTCTTTTTTTTCCCTGCAAGGTCTTTGCTTATTTTCCGAATGCAACAGCTGTTCAACAACGTGGCTTTCAGGTCCCGCCCACACATAGGTCCACGCCCACTTTGACTTAATGAAATTCTAATGATGGGACTAGAACCAATCAGAGAAAGAAAACAATGCCCTCAGCCAATGAGGAAACAGTGCGACTGCCGTCAGTTAGTGGGAAAAGGCAGGAACAAAAGGGGTCACTCGCTGTGGTTTATGAATGGGCGGGTCTCGATTTTTTTATTTTTTTTTGCTATTCCTCCAATGGCAGGTCGTGTTGATCCGAGGAACGAGAAACAAACGTGGCTAAGAGGCTTGTGATTGGCTCATAGGGGAGAAAAGAGGGCAGGGCTTCCCTCAGCTTTCCCTCAATGACGGAAACCAACCGCCTCCGGAAGGCAAGTGACAGCGCGCGGAAAAAGCAGAGGTTGACATAGGGCGAGAAATAAATAGTGGGAGGTGCATCGGTTTCCTTTCCAACCAATGGCAGGAGGAGGAGGAGAAAGCGCGCGCGAGGAAAGTCGAGTCGGTCATAGGACGAAGCAGGGATTAAAGGCGGGGCTTCTTCTTTCCAACCAATAGCAAGCGCAAGCGCCGGAGTGGGCGGTGCCGAGGCGGCCATCGAGGCTTTCTCCTCAGGCGACGGCGGGAAGGATTTGGAGGTTTCGCTTTGAAGCCGCTTTTTCCTTCCTTCCTTCCTTCGCAATGGATGCCGCCGAGGTCGAATTCCTGGCGGAGCGAGAGATGGTTACCATCATCCCCAACTTCAGCCTGGACAGGATTTACCTCATTGGGGTGAGGCCTTCGGGACTACAACTCCCATGCTCCTTTCCGGCGGGGGGCGGGTTTATGGAACTGAAGTCCCGAAACGAAATATCCGTTATTGTCCGGGGAGGGGGGGGGGGGGAGGAGTGGTTGTGTTCCATCTCCCATCGGCCGAAGTGCGGCTGGTGGCTGAGGATTATGGGGGATGTAGTTGCCTACGTTGAAACTGCCCTCAGCCCCGACCGGGATAGGCGCCGGCAGGGGATTATGGGGTTTTATGCCGTAAGGATGTCCTCAACTCCTCCTATCAGCCCCGGCTGGATTATGTGGTTGGCAAGGGAGTGTGGGATTTGTAGTCCCCAAAGTTTATTCCAAAGGATCCCTTTTATGGGGGGTGGGGGTGGGGGGTTCCATTCCAATCAGGCCCAAACTTCATGGCTGGGAGTGGGAGGTTATGGGATTTGTGATTAAAGAATGCCATCCTCCCCAGCTGGGATGTGAGGGATTTGTTGTCTCCCAAGATTCTTGCCATCATGCCTGTGGGGAGGGGGATTTCCATCCCCATCATCCCCAGCCAGCCAGCCTGAGCAAACTCTCTTGGGCAAATCCTTTGAAATAAGCAGAGATTTGGGGGGGGGGGGGATCCCAGCTTTTTGGGGAAGGGGGCAGAGCTGGGATTCAGCCGGTTCTGACTAGTTCTGGAGAACCGGTAGCGGAAATTTTGAGTAGTTTGGAGAATCGGCCAATCCCACCTCTGACTAGCCCAGCCCCCTTCTCGTCTCTGCCTCCCATCGAGTCCCAGTTGATCGGCTGGGTCTCCTTTGGTTGCCCTGCACAGGAGAACG